CTGCGATGATGAGCTTCCACCTAGGACCCCATTCAAACCCAAAAACCGCCTGGTCTCTGTTAGCTAATGGAAGTTGCAAGCGAGAATCTTCTCCCTCTCCTCCCGATGCCGAAGGGAAATGGGCCATGTTCATGACCGTGACTCATGCAGCTGCAAGGGCTGCTTTGGGTGCGCAGTCCAGACCTCCCCAGAGACCGTGGCTGATGGAGGAGGTGTTCCGGCGAGCTGAAAGTGACAGGTCCGCTCTCACCCTCTTCAGCATCCCACGCCCGAAAATGAGGGAAGATTACTGTCGCCTTCGCTCAGAGGTTCGGAGAAACGTGTGGCCCTGCAAATCGCAGATCACTAGTTCACGTTGATTTATGTTGTCAAATTTAACGAACTTCACTGAACTTGATAGTGTTTTAGTTCCGTTTGCTCTTTACTTCGTTTCTGTACTTTGTTTTTAAGGCTGAGTCGACTTAGGGGAGGCCCATGACCGGTTCAGATAGTCGTTAACGATGTTGGCCGTGAGCGGGAAACAAACTCGGGTCTCCGGGTTCTTAGCACGGTGCGCGATAACCACTACACTACCGCTCCCCACAACTACTCTTCCGCGCGCGTGTGCCCTACGTCACACACACACACGTGCTCAAAGGGCCGTGACTGACACGGAGGCCTTCATCCAGCAGTGGACTGACAGTGCGGCTGTAAATGATGATAAATGACGAGGCGGATCCCCGACTGCGCCGCCGCCTCGGCCACGTCCCCGCGGCGCTTTCGCGCGACCCCGTTCCGAACCCATCGTCTCATCTCAGCGGCCACCCGCCCTGGGCGCCGTGGGGGTTGGGAGCTGAGATTTCGTGAAGCATTTTCAGGGCTCAAGGTCACGGCATCGTTGCATTTTTTTGTTCTGTCCCCGGCCGCCCCGAGGCCACCGACTGAGAGGTTTCCCCCTCTTGTGAAGTCGTTGCACCTGAGATCAAGACACCAGCCCGCCCTCCAGCACTCCGCGCCCGATCGGGAGAAGTGAGGGGGGACTCGAGTCTGTGAAGTTCACCGAGACCCCAGCGGCGCCTCCAGCACGGGCAGCGCTTTCATCACCACGAACACGGGTTTTATATAAATATATATATACATAATGCCACCGCGAGCCACCATAGCACGTATATGCACGTTTACCAATCCGAATTCGTTCAAATACGGATTAAATGCGCACACGCTGCACGCGCCTGATGATAGTGACACGCGTCCTCCGTGTTGCGAGGATATGCCATCGTCACAGCGGGCGGCAGCTGGATGCACCGAACCCCCTCCCATTAGAAAGTCTCACGAATGGCTCAACAGCCAGACACGGAGACGAGCGGTGCCCCACTGCAGTGGGCAATCGACTGGCAGAGAATCATGCAGAAGCGCACGCGTTCAGTTAGGCCGAGAGACCTGAACAAGAGAACACGTGGATGAGAGAACACACGCAAGTTAGAGACATCACATCGATCTCCATCTAGCAGTGGATATATGATGATTGCACTGAGGAGACATAATAAAGAAGATACGCAAGTTAGTTACAGGTCACGTTGACTGTTTAGGGACGTGAGCGTGGCCAGGGCGGGACGCGTCAGGGTGACAAGGGACGAGGGCAGATGGCCGAGACGAACGACGGCGTGGCAGCCAACGGAGGGAATCGCGACTGAGACTCCACAAAGATTCAGACTACATGTTCCTGGTTCTTTCGGTAAAGTCACGTTGATAAAAAAAATGTAAATAACATTTTAATGAAAATGATATTTTCAATTCTATTTTACAATTTGTATTGTTTTTGCTTTGATTATTTTCAATGTATTATTTATACTTTTAATAATTTGTATTTTTATTTCAATCTATTTCTTAGGATATATTTTTTTCTCTCTACGCGAGTTTATCGAAAGAATTAATAATTTGTATTTTTTATTTCAATCTATTTAAGATATATTGTTTTCTCTCAGTCACGAAAGTTTTAAGTCAAAATTCAGACTACATGGGGAAGCCTTCATCAAGCAGTGGATAGATCCTGGCCGATTGATTAATGAGTTCAACCTCAAACTTACATCAAAGCACACACACCACCACCACGCGGACTCGCCTCTCACCATTCACGCGCGGTGTTCGGAATGGGTTTGACCCCAGGGCTGTGCTCCCTTAGCACCGCTGCGACTCTCGGATAGGCGATCCGCCAGTTTTATTTGCTTCTTATAGACATCTCTACAAAGTGTTAGGCGCAAGGTTACACAGAGAAGTGTTGTTAGACGAGAGACGTGACACCAAAGAGTGACGAACGATCTGCCTACGGGTTCCAAAATGCGTGGTCGTGCGCACGGAGAACGCGGCTCTCGCGCACGTAGAACGCGGCTCTCGCGCACGTAGAACGCGGCTCTCGCGCACGTAGAACGCGGCTCTCGCGCACGGAGAACGCGGCTCTCGCGCACGGAGAACGCGGCTCTCGCGCACGTAGAACGCGGCCCTCGCGCACGGAGAACGCGGCTCTCGCGCACGTAGAACGCGGCTCTCGCTCACGTAGAACGCGGCTCTCGCTCACGTAGAACGCGGCTCTCGCTCACGTAGAACGCGACACTCGCGCACGTAGAACGCGGCTCTCGCGCACGGAGCCTCGTGCTTCCGCAATCTCCTGCCAACAATTTCAGAGCGACTTCAACTCCCGAAGGAGCTCCCGGCGCGAGGCAGCGAAACGTCGGACATTGTGCCGAACGACGCCATCGCGGACAGCAAGGCAGCAGCAGCAGCACAACCGCGAACACCGACGCGGGGATTCCTCACGGTTACACGGTTTCATTGTTTTACGATTAAAATGAACGATTCTCTTGACGGACTTTTTGCAAATTAGAATGCATCTTAAAGCGTGACCACCATGACATTCACTCTGCACGTAGCCGGCTTTCACAACCGATGGTTAAAACATTTCCTCTATACATGTTTAAAAATGAAATTAATATCCAAATGTAGGTGTTGACCAATGAAAATGAATTCACTACACAAATTGATCTCAAGTTAAAACACAAATGCATCCTAAGTTTGATCGCAAGTTGCGAACGCGAGGTCCGTGCTTGGGCGGTGCAGGCGAGCCGCCACGCCGCCCACGTGCAGAAAGAACCCCAAAGTCAAATCCACAAACCCAGAAACACAAACCCCGAGCATAGCAACGGGAGGTCCCCGGCGCGACAAGCAGCGAGGCAGAGTAAACCCTCAAATTGCTCACTCCAACCATCAAAGGCTCAGCGAGACGCCTTAATTGGCCGAGTGTTTTGACGCCCTCCCATAATCAATCAATCAATCGGTCAATCAGGTATGTCCGCCGTTGCCGACCAGGTAACACCCACTCCCCCCCACCACCACGCACTCCACCCCGCGGACACGTACAGGCGGCTCCCTACAAACTTTGGGGAGGAGGTGGTTGAGGAATGTGAGAGATGGCGGACTGGCGAATAGGTCCGATTTAATTACGATTAACGCCTTCACCACCACCATCATCATCATCGCCACCTCCTCATCCCTTCCCTCCCTACCTTAGACAATTATTCCATCAGTGGCTGCCGCGCCTGGAGATGTCATTAAGAGCGCGGGGGCGGCTGCATACGGGGAAAGGTGAGGACTAGCCCAGGGCCACGTGGCGGCCTGACACGTGCAGGGCGGAACAAAATCATTGTGGTCATCATCATTATCAGTGGAATCAGCTCTAGCAGCTGCTTCTTCTTCATCATCATCACCAACCACCATTTTCATTACCATCGTTGACATCATCAGACAAACGTCGTCATCCCCGCCTTGCAGGACCCCTCCATGAGTGGCGTGGAGATTCTGCGAGTAGCCCCCCCCCCACACACCACGGTCGCGAGGAGCAGGAATTCCCCCCCCCTCCTCCTCCTCGCGCGGAGCCCGGGGCCTCGCGGCACCGTCTTCACGTGGCCAGAGACACAACATCCCAGGGGCCCGTCTCCTGGACACGACCTGTGTCCCTGTCTACCGGTCTCCCCGTCTCCCTGTCTACCCGTCTTCCTGTCTCCCTGCACACGACTTGTCTCCCCGTCTACCCGTCTCCCCGTCTACCCGTCTTCCTGTCTCCCTGCACACGACTTGTCTCCCCGTCTACCCGTCTACCCGTCTTCCTGTCTCCCTGTCTCCCTGTCTCCCTGTCTCCCTGCACACGACTTCTCCCCATCTACCCGTCTTCCTGTCTCCCTGTCTCCCTGCACACGACTTGTCTCCCCATCTACCCGTCTACCCGTCTTCCTGTCTCCCTGTCTACCGGTCTCCCCGTCTTCCTGTCTCCCTGTCTCCCTGCACACGACTTGTCTCCCCGTCTACCGGTCCTCCTGTCACACTGGATACGGTCTGTCTCTGCGTCTACCGGTCTTCCTGTCTCCCCGTCTACCGTGTTTGTGTGCTTCCCTGGAACACCGTTCGTCTCTCTGTCTCGTTGTCTCCGTGTCCCCGACGTCGATGTGTGGGTCTCGGTCTCTCCCCTATGTCTGTGTCTTAGTCTCCGAGTCTCTGTCTTGGGTCAGTCCGTCTCCCCCTAAGTGTTCGTCTCTGTCCCTGTCTGTCTCTCGCCTAATTCACCCATTGATGCAGCACACACCAAAGCAGCGTGATGACCTTGGTTCAGATACAAAGACCACCCCCCCCCCCCCCCCCCCCCCCCCCCCCCCCGTATAGCCTTTAATATAATGTTGGGGCAAGTGCTGTGTAGCAAGCACACACACACAGAGTCAAGAGGGCATCACGGGCAATGCCAGTGGTGCCACCCCGCCTCGCCATCGCTCCCTTCCTTCTGCCAGCCCGAGCCGAGCCCGAGCCACAGCCGAGCCGCCGCTCATGCATCTTTGAAAGCAGCAACTCAAGCCAATCTTGCCAAAGACAAAGATCCCCCGTGTAACCTTAAACGGACTGTTGGGGCAAGTGCTGTTAGCGAGCAGCACCATTGAAAACAAACGAGGAGGTGGGTGGGCAGCACCACGCCCGGCCGCATTTGTCTCTCTAGTGGTGACTGTTTACACACCGCACCAGGTACTTAATTGAGGCTGAGTCGACCTAGGGGAGATCCAAGACCGGTTCAGATAACTCGTCATTGGCGTCGACAGGGAGCGGGAATCAAACTCGGGTCGTCGTGTTCGTAGCACAGCGCGCTAACCGCTGTGCCACTGCTCCCCAGTCGCATCACCACCATCATCACCTTTTCGGACTGTTCCGTTAGAAATGAACAATTGAGTTTATTGCCTACGGGATCTATCGTTGTCAAAGCACGCGGCGATCATAGCGCAGCAAAGCGTCGCTGTGCTTCACGCGAGGCACAGCCTACGCTGGTTTCACAGCAGGGTGGGGCGATGCCGCTGCTGTTGTGTGTGAGTGCGAGTGCACGTAGCCTGGCATAAGCGCCGTGGTGACGTCGTCGTCACCGAGTGAAGATTGAGTGATTTGGAGTTACAAGGCAGAGGGCGACCGCGCGAGGCTACAGGAGCGACTCCCTGCCGGGCTGAGCGGAGTGCACGATCACGGGGCGAGCCAGCAACCCCTGCCCCTCGTCGTTGCCCCCCTCGGCCTCCTCCTCCTCCTCCTCGTCCTGCCGCTGGTCGGGGTCGTGCGTGGCGAGGGGGACCAGCATGGGGCGAGAGAGGATGCGAAGCGCCTGGGCCAGGGAGAGGGGGACAGTGGGAGAGAGGGAGACTCTGCGAGACTCTCCCGGCTGTATAACGACGCCTGGGCACCACCCCAGCACGTGCACGGCGCGCGGGTGAGTTCACGCGGCCACTCTCTGACCGGTCCTGTCAAGATGACGATACAACATGCATAATGGGCTTCATACCCTTTCCGGCAAGACTACAGGATGTGTTAAGGTGTTCAAACACCAAACAGACACACCGATTATCACCACGACAAGGCATCATCACGCCTGCATTCACCACACACCATGCTCGTGGTAAAACATGCAAACAAACCCGCCTTGAAACCGAAACGAATTAAAACAATAATGATGTATGCATTGTCCTTGTGGACACGTTCACCGGCTTTCGCCTAACGATCCGAGCTGCTGATCGGGAGAAGGTGCGGCTGCCTCACCTGGAGATAGGAGGGCGGCGGGGTGAGCCCCGGGGGGTGAGGCCTGGTGAGGGTGCGCAGCGCCTGCAGGTAGCCGGGGGGCGGGGTGAGGGAGCTGTCCAGCCGGTAGCCGTGGGTCGAGAGAAGCCCGTTCAGCTCTGGGGGGCACGCGCGGAGAGGGGGCGGGGGAGGGAGGGGAGGGGGTTAAGGGAGGGAGTTCGAGGAGGGAGGGGGATAGGGGAGGGAGGATGGGGGAGGAGCGGGGGGTGATCAAAGAGCTTCCTTCCCCCGCACCTCCGATGAGCTGGGTTGGCGAGGTATGGTGAGAAAGCAGTTCAACACAGTAACACACAGTAACACACTACACACTCACACAGTAACACAACAGCAACAACCGCCATTCACCACTAAGTGGCGGTGACGTCACCACGACGCTTGTGCCAGGCTATGTGCACCCTGAGGCCACGTGAAGTGTCGAACGCCCGCTGGCAGGAGGTCACGGGGCAGACCCAGGTGCCACGGGTCGATTGACTGAGATGACTGGCTGGTGCACCACCTGTGCCCCCTACTTTGCCCACCTGCTGTGCTTTAGCCACCCGGCGCTCCGCTCGTTGTTGTGAGCGTCGCTCCTACGCCCTCCGTTGTTGTTGGAGGGCGACTGCCTCCAACTGCCCAATAGCGTCCTTCACGAGCCTCCTCCACAGAGGCCGATATTGACACCGCTGGTACCAGTCATCGGCAAGTGCACTCAGCTCCACGTCCTCCTGTACCACATCACTCCATCTCTCTTCTCTAGCCCGTGCTGCGCCCGTTTAGCCCCCTCGATCCGGCCAAACAAAAGCTGTTTCGGCATGCGGTGGCTGGGCATGCGGGCTACATGACCCAGCCAACCCAGCCTTGCCTGCCGCAGGAGCTCACCGATGGGACCTTGCCCAGATCTTTAAAGTATTTGTGAGCTCCTCACACAATCCAGCCTGGTTAAACCCAGGATGGATCGTAGGCAGGCCAGCCTAAATGTTTCCAACCGGCGAAGATGCTCCATTAAGGGGGTCCACGTTTCGCAAGCGTAGAGGAGGGAATGACCGTGGCCGAGAAGACCTGAAGCTTAGTGCGGAGCGACAGACCAGGAAGCTTCCACACAGCGTTACGCAACCGATGAAAAGATATTGCCGCTCGACTACACACACACAGTAACACACACACTACACACACTACACACACAGTAACACACAGTAACACACACACAGTAACACACAGTAACACACACACAGTGACACACACTACACACACACTAACACACACAGTAACACACACTACACACACACGGTAACACACACTACGCACACTACACACACAGTAACACACACTACACACACACGGTAACACACTACACACACTATATAACTTCTCCTCTAAAAAATGCGTAGAGGAGCGATTAGTGAATGACTGATTTGTGCGAGACTTGCATGGACGGATTAAATAGTGAAACGTGACTTAATGGAGTTGTGAATGAGTTAATAAATGAAACAATTGTTTAAGGAATGAATAAACGAAGAAATGGATTGAATGTTGAAATTTACCGTGTGAATGAAATAACGAACTAAAGAGTATCTTAAACTGAACGAACGAAAACACGGATGTAGAGCGATGTATTTATGTAATGACATTAGCCAATAAATAAACGTTGAATGGAATTCACAAATTATTGATTGAACGAATGGGAGTGAACGAGTAAGTGAATGAGTACGAATGAGTTTACTTGCGGGTGAATGAATGGGTGAATGGGTGAATGAGTGAATAAGTGAATGAGTGAATGGGTGAATGGGTGAATGGGTGAATGAGTGAATGGGTGAATGAGTGAATGGGTGAATGGGTGAATGAGTGAATGAGTGAATGGGTGAATGAGTGAATGAGTGAATGGGTGAATGAGTGAATGGGTGAATGGGTGAATGAGTGAATGGGTGAATGAGTGAATTGGTGAATGAGTGAATGAGTGAATGGGTGAATGAAGCTTTCCCACTGATCTCTGCTGTGGCAGAGTCACTGCGCTCCGGCCTGGGCCAGGAGATCGGCACAACACTGCCAGGTGCACAGGTAACAGAACGAGGGAGGAGCACGGATAATTCAGGAGAGGGTGAATGAATACATGAATGAATGAATTAGTTAAAGGAGATCGCCGCTACCTGCGAGGTCGCACAGCATCGAGGACCCGGAGTCAAGTCGCTCCTTCTCCTCCACGGGGGTCACGCTGTAGCGGTCAACTTGGCTCGGGGTTCCTGCAGGGGTCCCTCCACCAGGAGCCGCTCCACCAGGGACCCCACTGTGAGCTCCACCTTGGGGCCCTCTCTCAGCTGCACCGTGGGCCTCCCATTGAGCCTTGCCATGGGCCTCGCTGTGAGCTCCACCGTGGGCCCCGCTGTGAGCTCCACCATGGGTCCCGCTGTGAGCTCCACCTTGGGGCCCACTCTCAGCTGCACCGTGGGCCTCCCATTGAGCCTTGCCATGGGCCTCGCTGTGATCTCCACCGTGGGCCCCGCTGTGAGCTCCACCATAAGCCTCGCTGTGAGCTCCGCCAGGGGCCTCGTAATCGAGCGAGCCGCGCCACCTCGCGGGGTTGGGGTGCGAGTAGCGGTCTCTGGGCCGGGAACGGGAGAGACAAAGGCGGTCGCGGGTGGCGGAGAGGCCCCCCTTGACGGAGGAGAGGAGGCCAGGGCGCCACTCCACGAGCCGCAGGGTGAGCAGGGCGAGCAGGCTCACGATGGCTGTGCTCACGATGAGCCAGCTCACTACCAGCATGGGACCACTGGCAGGAGAGGGAGGGAGTGAGGAGGAGGAGGGTCAAACAGAGTGAAGTAATCACCCTCGGCAGCATCACCATCAGCAACAATAAAAGTAGCAGCAGCACTGGCATGGTTATCCTCATCAGCATAAAAAAAAATGTCTCAATCAGCAAGTCTCATCAACAGCAGCAGCAGAAACACGACAATAGCATCATCCTCATCGATTAATAATCATCAGTAGATCAACGGTACCATCATCATTTTCAATCTCAATATCATAATCGACACCAAAGATCAGCCGTATAGCCTGCACAAACTGTAGGAGGAACAAGTTCCGTTCGCGAGTAGCACCTATGAAGGCCGACACGGCACACGAGGTGGTAGTTGGCCAGCACCATGCCCGGCCGCCTTTGCCTCCATTGTGGCGATGATTACCCACCGCACCAGGTACTCATCTGAGGCTGAGTCTACCTAGGGGAAGCCCAGGAACGGCTAAGATACTAATCGTCATTGGTGTTGACCGTGAGCGGGAAGCAAACCAAGGTTCTACATCATGAGGCCTCCTTTGCAAGTACCAAAATATACTAATAGGGCTATGCCCCTTTTTTCTGGCAAACAAAACTGACACCTTTTGCAAGGAATCATGTTAACATTAACCACAATACTTGCAGTCAAATACAAAAAAGCCCTATTAGTATATTTTGGTACTGGCAAAGGAGGCCTCATGATGTAGATGCTTACCCCGAGCTCTCATTACTCTGACAGTGCGTTGTCTTTGAACTGTTCGCCTTTTGGCGTCATCTGGGCGAACACCGCATGAGACTCGGCTCTAAGAAAAGCTGTCTCTGGTGTGGACCAATGAGTTAAGGACAATGCATGTATTGTTTTTGCATTTGACTGCAAGTATTGTGGTTAATGTTAACATGATTCCTTGCAAAAGGTGTCAGTTTTGTTGCCAAAAAAAAGAGGAAAAGCCCTATTAGTAACAAACCAAGGTTGCCGGGTTCGTAGCGCAGCACGCTAACAGCTGAACTACCGCTCCCCACATCATCAACACCGTCATCACCCCACCCCCCTCACCTCCTCTCACGGCACGAGATGAAGGCGCTGCGGTTCCCAGGACACGTGGAGACATCGCTCCACGTCAGGAGGTCCCTGCATTTGTGGGTGGCCTGCTCTCCCCGCTCCCCCCGCTCCCCCCGCTCCCCCGTGCAGGGTGCCTGAGCCACCCAGTGGTAGGGGTCGAGGTCAAGGCCCGTGGGGTCGATCTCCCTCTCCGTGACCTTCACCTCGTCCGTGGGACACTGCAGCTGGGGGGCGAGGGTCACACGAGCAGCAGGGAGGGGGTCGATTCGTGGAATCACAAACTCCTCCTGCCCGTCTTTGGCTCTCCACACAACGCAGTTCTTTTATTTTTACACATCCCATCAGCCGAATGGCCTCCCTCCCATGAGTGCTCACAGCAGCATTGGTTCAACGCAATCAGAACTCTGGACTGGTTTCAACTTTCAACGTCTCATCAGCAGTTGAGCTTTGCTTGAGCTATTGCTGATGAACTTCTAGAAGAGTAATGGCAAGGACCCCTTCCCTGTGTGAAATGTGGGTCCTCACTGTGACACTGAATTTCAAAATGAAGGTTATTTTGGGAGGGTCCTAAACTATTTTAATGAAACTATTTTTTATTTTACCAGGTGAGGCACGCTGAGCCACTGTATAGCTGTTTTTCTGAAGCCACCTGGCCACAAATGATAGCTCAACGAAGTGGCTTATCACGTGGAAATGTATTGCAGCCAAATATTCTAAACACGTGTTTCTAAATGTGTAGGGAAAACCCGGAGGACCTGGAGAAAAATCCACGTGACCACGAGCAACATATCTTGACTTAAAGCTTTCGTGACTGCAGGAATTCATATTCTTTGGGTCTTTTGGTAAAGTCACGTAGATAGGTTCAAATTAATAAAAATGAAATGTTTATTTTATTTTTATTAATTTGGATATTCTTTGGGTATTTCAGTATATTTTTAAAATTAATTTGAACCCATCTACGTGACTTTACCGAAAGACCCTAAGAATATCCAAATATACAGTTTAACACGTAGGCTTTCAGGACCAATATCATCCATAAAACAGTTTTTTGGGGTTGGATCGCGTAAATATACGATAGACGTCAGGGTCGGGATCGAACCCACGTATCCTGAATACCAGGCGAGGTAGTTAACATATCGCTGCTGTGTGATCCACATCGATTGATTCCGAGGTAATTGCCCAGCATTGGGATGCTTACGATCAATACCATAGTCACTGTGTGTGGTTTGTTGTGTCTATGGGAGGAGTAAACCGAAAAACCCCATGCAGAACAGGGGAGATCATACAGACTCCAGAGATACACGCACCTCACACTCACTCACTCTCAAACTCCCTCACTCGCTCACTCTCAAACTCCCTCACTCTCAAACTCTCTCACTCGCTCACTCTCAAACTCCCTCACTCGCTCACCCACTCTCACTCACTCACACTCGTACAAATACCATACAGAAATATACAATGCAGAAAGGTGCTCCCGAGTCTGGAATCGAACCCAGGGACTTCCTCGCTGTAGGTGGAGCTGCCTCCTCCCTGTGGGAGGGGGGAGGGGGGTGCCTCCCTCACCTGTGCGCAGGCGAGCGAGGCGTCCAGTGCCTGGGCGCACACTCCCCTCCAGCTCCCAGCATGCAGCGCTTCCAAGTGGCCCTGGCACGGGCCCCACCCCCCCAACACCCGCACCCGCGGCCACGTGACCTCATCTGGGGGGGGGGGGGGCGAAGGGGGGTGGTCATGCCTCTTGTAGCAGGGCACACAGGCTACGGCACGGGTACCGTGCAGGAGAATGTATAATGTGTGCGGGGAACGGCAGTGCGTTACCACACCCGACTACACAACAAGATGAGCTGATGATGATTGACGTGATGATGATCTTCATGATGACGATAGTGATTGCTGAGATCATGAAAGACGAACTGATGATTATGACTACATTTTTAAATAATGGGAATCACCTCACACACCCCCCCTCCCACTAACACCACACAAAGACAACAGAGGCTGGTGGGGCAAGTGCTGGTAGCGAGCTCCTATCAAGGCCAGCACCATAAACCAGTGGCGATGTTTACACACCGCACCAAGTACTAATTTAAGACTGAGTCGACCCAGGGGAGACCCAGGACCGGTTCAAATAATCGCCACTGATGTTGGCCGTGAGCAGGAATAGAACTCGGGTTGCCGGGTTCATAGCACAGCGTGCTAACCGCTGCGCTACCACTCCCCACACTCACACAGACACACAAAGATCCCCCATATAGCCTTAACAGACTGTAGGGGCAAGTGCTGTTAGCGAGCACCTATGAAGGCCGGAACGGTACACGAGGGGGTGGGTGGCCAGCACCACGCCCCACCGCCTTTGTCTCCCTAGTGGCAATGTTTACACACCGCACCAGGTACTCATTTGAGGCAGAGTCGACCTAGGGGAGGCCCGGGACCGGTTCAGATCATCGTCACTGGTGTTGGCCGTGAGCGGGAATCGAACCCGGGTCGCCAGGTTCATAGCGCAGCGCGCTAACCACTACACTATCGCTCCCCATACACAGACACACACACACAGACACACACACACAGACACACAAAGATCTGCTGTATAGCCTTAACAGACTGTAGGGGCAAGTGCTGCTAGCAAGTACCTATGAAGGCCGGAACGGTACACGAGGGGGTGGGTGGCCAACACCACGCCCGACCGCCTTTGTCTCCCCAGTGGCGATGTTTACACACCACACCAGGTACTCATTTCAGGCTGAGTCGACCTAGGGGAGGCCCAGGACCGGTTCAGATAATCGTCACTTGTGTTTGCTGTGAGCGGGAATCGAACCCGGGTCGCTAGGTTCATAGCGCAGGGCGCTAACCGCTACACTACCGCTCCCCACAACACACTCACAGACACACACACACAGACACACACACAGCCACACGCACACACAGACACACACACAGACACACGCGCACACAGACAAATCGAGGTGGGTAGATAAGCGAGTTGTGGAGTGAATGGGTGAGCGAGTGACGTGGTGAGTGGTGGAGAGAGTTCGTGATGAGTGTGTGCGTGGGTGAGTGGTTGTTATGGTGGTAGTTGTTGTGACTAGAGTCGTTATTAGTACCACTGTCGTTGGATTAGTGAGTGATGGGGTGAGAGAGCAACCAGGTGGGCGATTGATGGGGTGAGGTGAGTGACGAGGTAGGTGGGTGGCTGGCTGGATAGGTGAGCGAGTAGTCGTTGTGACTATCCTGGTTGTTGTTGTTGTCGTCGTGCTATACATGTGGAACAAAATGTGCAAAGTGTGCAACGAAGCACAGAGAGGTGTGCCCTCGTGCTCAGAGACAGCGCACCACGTGGATTAGACAACACACGTTCGGGACGTCATACTGAGACCGTTGTGGAGTTGTTGTTGTTTACCGGTGGTAGTGGCCGGGCCGGGTTCGCACGCCAGGGTGGCCGTGCTCTCCCACGAGCAGCGCAGCACGGGACACGCAGCGCACCGGGACACGAACTCCCCTGGGTGGAGTAGAGGGGAGCACAGAGAGAGTGTGAGTGAGGCTAAGAGTGAGGACCGAGAGAGAGTGTGAGTGTGTGAGAGCGAGACTGTGTGAGTGAGAGAGAGAGTGTGAGACTGTGTGAGTGTGAGAGAGAGTGTTAGAGCGAGACTGTGTGAGTGAGAGAGTGTGAGTGTGTGAGAGAGAGAGTGTGAGTGAGGCTAAGAGTGAGGACCGAGAGAGAGTGAGACTGTGAGAGAGAGAGAGTGAGAGAGTGTGTGAGAAAATGAGACTGTGAGTGTGAGAGAGAGAGTGTGTGAGAGCGAGTGAGTGAGAGTGTGTGAGAGAGAGTGTGTGAGAGAGTGTGAGTGAGTGAGAGTGTGTGAGAGCGAGTGAGAGTGAGTGAGTGAGAGTGTGTGAGAGAGTGAGAGCGAGTGTGAGAGAGAGCGAGTGAGAGTGTGAGAGAGCGAGAGAGAGAGAGTGTGATGGAGTGAGAGTGTGAGAGAGAGTGTAAGACCGAGTGAGTGTGAGAGTGTGTGAGAGAGTGTGAGAGAGAGCGAGTGAGAGTGTGAGAGAGTGTGAGAGAGCGAGAGAGAGAGTGTGATGGAGTGAGAGAGAGTGTAAGACCGAGTGAGTGTGAGGGTGTGAGAGCGGGTGTGTGAGAGCGAGTGAGAGTGTGTGTGAGAGAGAGAGAGTGAGAGTGTGTGAGGGCGAGCGTGTGTGTGTGCCCAGCCCTCCGCTCACGAGTCGAGTGCCAGGTGGCTAACGTGCAGAAAGCTGGCACAGGTGTTGGATCTGCGAGTCACCTCAGTCAGCCCATGGCACCTGGGTCTGTTCCGTGAACTGCCAGCGAGCCTTCCACACTTCACGTGGTAAATAGCGGTTGTTGTTCATTGGTGTTACTCGCGAACAGCACTTGCCCCAACAGACTGTTAAGTTGATACGGGGGATCTTTGTCTTCGCATGAGTAAGGGGGAAAGAGAGAGCTGAGTGTGTGGATATGTGGGGCAGGAGGAAGCGATGGGAGATTGAGGAGTAGGAGGGAGGTGGGAGGGAGTGGAGCGAGGGACCCCACCGAGACAGCGCACGCTGGGGTAGAGGAGGTCCCCCCCGTAGAGCTGGGGGCTCAGGGACCCCGCGTCCCTCTTGGGGGGGCCGCACCCCGCACCTTGGCACAGCTCCTCCGCAAGGCGCCCCGACGCGTTCCATCCACTCACACAGAGCTGCGGAGATACACACTCACCTGTACACTCACTCACTCACCTGTACACTCACTCACTCACCTGTACACTCACTCACTCACCTGTACACTCACTCACTCACCTGTACACTCACTCACTCACCTGTACACTCACTCACTCACCTGTACACTCACTCACTCACCTGTACACTGATACACTCACCTGTACATTCACTCACCTGTACACTCACTCACCTGTACACTCACTCACCTGTACACTCACTCACTCACCTGTACACTCACTCACCTGTACACTCACTCACTCACCTGTACACGCACTCACCTGTACACTCACTCACTCACCTATACACTCACCTTGACGCTCATCACCTGTCCACTCATTTACTTGTACACTCACTTACTCACCTCTACACCGACTCACCTCTGCACTCACTCACCTGTACACTCACTCACCTGCCAACTCATTTACCTGTACACTCACTCACCTCTACAGCGACTCACTCGCCTGTAAACTCACTCACCTCTACAGCGACTCACTCGCCTGTACACTCACTCACCTCTACACTCACTCACCTGTACACTCACCTGTACACTCACCTCTACACTCACTCACCTGTACACTCACTCACCTGTACACTCACCTCTACACTCACTCACCTCTACACTCACCTGTACACTCACCTCTACACTCACCTCTACACTCACTTACCTCTACACTCACTCACCTCTACACTCACTTACCTCTACACTCACTCACTTCTACACTCACCTCTACACTCACTCACCTGTACACTCACTCACCTGTACACTCACCTCTACACTCACTCACCTGTACACTCACTCACCTATACACTTACTCACCTCTACACTCACTCACCTCTACACTCACTCACCTCTACACTCACTCACCTCTACACTCACTCACCTCTACACTCACTCACCTCTACACTCACTCACCTGTACACTCACCTCTACACTCACTCACCTCTACACTCACTCACCTCTACACTCACTCACCTCTACACTCACTCACCTGTACACTCACCTCTACACTCACTCACCTCTACAATCACTCACCTCTACACTCACTCACCTGTACACTCACTCACCTGTACACTCACTCACCTCTGCACTCCCCTGTACACTCACTCGTATACACTTACATCTGGGTTGGCATCCAGACTGGCGTTTTGTTTGCTGTTGAGGTCAGGTTCAGGGGCAATTCTGGGATCAACATCTTGGTAAAAGTGAGAGATGGCGGTCAGTGTTAGGATTAAATTGAGGTCAAAGTTGATGTTTGGGGTAAAGGTCGGGGCCAGTGTTAGGATCAAGGTTGGTCCAACGTCGGGGTCAGTGTCGGGGCCTCACCGCGTCCCACCGCTCCCCGTGCCGCATCTGCACCAGACCCTCGCAGGGCTCCCCTGCGCCCACCAGCCTCACGCGGCGGGCGGCAGTCACGGGGCCCGTGACCCCTCCTCCCGTGACCCCTCCTCCACCTCGGGGCCCCGTGACCCCTCCTCCCGTGACCCCTCCTCCCGTGACCCCTCCTCCACCTCCGGGCCCCGTGACCCCTCGTCCCGTGACCCCTCCTCCCGTGACCCCCTTGGGCCTCGCTGTCCCCGCGTCTCCCCCGCTCGCTCCTGCACCGCGAGGAGAAGGGGGCGGCAGGCCATGGTTGAGTCTCACGGGGGAGCTGCCCGCACTCCCGGGGGGGGGCGGGGGGGTGGTCAGAGGCGATTGTTACGAATCATGTTGCTGGGATTATAAACCCTGGGGGGGCACGGGGGGGCGTGTAAACGGAGACGTGCGCGGTGCGGTGTTACGAAACTAAGAGTGATGTGTGTGATGACATCACAATCACACACACTACAAAGACACTCCTCCCATTATAGCCTTAACAGACTGTTGGGGAAAGTGCAGTTAGCGAACACGACAACGAACAACGGTGGCGATTACACACCGCACCAGGTACTCGTTTGAGGCCGGGTTGACCAAGGGGAGATTTAGGACCGGTTCAGAGAACCGTCACCGGTGTTGGCCGTGAGCGGGAATCGAACCCGGCTGTCCGGGGTACGTAGTGCAGCGTAGCGCTAACTGCTGCCATATGCAAGAAAAAAACCACCACCATCATCATCATCACGGGTCGTGGGCCACTCATCACAGAGACGGCAGTGATGGATGAGGCGCGGGTGACGCAGTCACTCACTGCCACGCAATTAAACAACGTCACCTGCGGGGGGGGGGGGGGCAGGTGGGGCCTAGAGAGAGTTCAGTCGGAAGGAGAGGGGGGCACTAAGAGATAATAGGGAGACGAGGGGAGGGGGCAGATACAATTAAGAGAACACGCGATCGCAGTGAGAAGCAAATATGGTGCAGCACAAACAGCAATCAATCATGGGCGTCTGGGGGTGGGGGCAGCTGTACGACAGCTCCGGGAGAGAGGAGAGGAACTCTCTCGGTCACTCACGGGGGGGGGGCAGGCGGCCTGGGTTGGGGGGGGGGTCGCGGTGTTGTTAATTTAACACGCGGAGCGAGCTCCGGCCGACTGGAGCGGAGTTTCTGGACAGAGATAATCGTTTTGGTTCACTACATTATTTTGATAACGCGTTGTTTATGAGATGTCGTTGTGTTTGCTTTGTGGTTTGAGAGGTTTAATCAGCCACACGGTGGGGGGGGGGGGGGGGCAGAACACCGCCCCCCTGGCCAGCGGTGTGAGCGCTGGGACTCGCGTCACGCGTATTGTGCCGCGGGTACCTGTGTAGCTGTGTACCTGTATAGCTGTGTACCTGTATAGCTGTGTACCTGTGTAGCTGTGTACCTGTATAGCTGTGTACCTGTGTAGCTGTGTACCTGTATAGCTGTGTACCTGTGTAGCTGTGTACCTGTATAGCTGTGTACCTGTGTAGCTGTGTACCTGTATAGCTGTGTAATTGTGTAGCTGTGTACCTGTATAGCTGTGTACCTGTGTAGCTGTGTACCTGTGTAGCTGTATACCTGTGTACCTGTGTAGCTGTATACCTGTATACCTGTGTGCCTGTGTAGCTGTGTACCTGTGTACCTGTATAGCTGTGTACCTGTGTATCTGTGTACCTGTGTAGCTGTGTACCTGTATAGCTGTGTACCTGTGTAGCTGTGTACCTGTGTACCTGTGTACCTGTATACCTGTGTACCTGTGTAGCTGTATACCTGTGTACCTGTGTAGCTGTGTACCTGTATACCTGTATAGCTGTGTACCTGTATAGCTGTGTACCTGTGTAGCTGTATACCTGTGTACCTGTGTAGCTGTGTACTTGTATACCTGTATAGCTGTGTACCTGTGTACCTGTATAGCTGTGTACCTGTATAGCTGTGTACCTGTGTAGCAGTGTACCTGTATACCTGTGTACCTGTGTAGCTGTATTCCTGTGTACCTGTGTAGCTGTGTACCTGTATACCTGTGTACCTGTATAGCTGTGTACCTGTGTACCTGTGTAGCTGTGTACCTGTATAGCTGTGTACCTGTGTAGCTGTGTACCTGTATACCTGTGTACCTGTGTAGCTGTATACCTGTGTAGCTGTGTACCTGTATACCTGTGTACCTGTGTAGCTGTATACCTGTGTAACTGTATAGCTGTGCACCTGTGTAACTGTGTACCTGTATACCTGTGTAGCTGTATACCTGTGTACCTGTATAGCTGTGTAGCTGTGTACCTGTATATATGTATAGCTGTGTACCTGTGTACCTGTATACCTGTGTAGCTGTATACCTGTATAGCTGTGTACCTATATACATGCATGCCTGTATACCTGTGTACCTGTGTCACTGTATAGCTGTGTACTTGTGTACCTGCGTACCTGTATAGCTGCGTACCTGTATAGCTGTGTACCTGTATAGCTGTGTACCTGTGTACCTATATACATGCGTACCTGTATAGCTGCGTACCTGTATAGCTATGTACCTGTATAGCTGTATACCTGTGTACCTGTATAGCTGTGTACCTGTGTACCTGTCATTGTATAGCTGTGTACCTGTATAGCTGTGTACCTGTGTACCTGTCACTGTACAGCTGTGTACCTGTGTACCTGTATAGCTGTGTACCTGTGTAGCTGTGTATCTGTATAGCTGTGTATCTGTGCACCTGTATAGCTGCATACCTTTATAGCTGTGTACCTGTATAGCTGTGCACCTGCGTACCTGTATAGCTGTGTACCTGTATATCTGTGTAGCTGTATAGCTGTGTATCTGTATACCTGTATACCTGCGTACCTGTATAGATGTGTACCTGTGTAGCTGTATACCTGTATAGCTGTGTACCTGTGTACCTGTATACCTGTGTATCTGTATACCTGTATACCTGTGTACCTGTATAGCTGTGTACCTGTATACCTGTGTACCTGTATACCTATATACCTGTGTGTATGTACCTGTGTGTGTGTACCTGTGTGTACCTGTGTATGTGTACCTGTGTGTACCTGTGTATGTGTGTACCTGTGTATGTGTGTACCTGTGTATGTGTGTACCTGTGTGTACCTGTGTACCTGTGTGTGTACCTATGTGTGTGTACCTGTGTGTGTGTGTACTTGTGTGTGTGTACCTGTGTGTGTGTACCTGTGTGCGTGTGTGTGTACCTGTGTGTACCTGTGTGTGTGTGTACCTGTGTGTGTGTACCTGTGTGTACCTGTGTGTGTGTACTTGTGTGTGTGTACCTGTGTGTACCTGTGTGTGTGTACCTGTGTGTGTGTAACTGTGCGTACCTGTGTGTGTACCTGTGTGTGTGTGCCTGTGTGTACCTGTGTGTGTGTACCTGTGTGTGTACCTGTGTGTGTACCTGTGTGTGTACCTGTGTGTGTGTACCTGTGGATAGCGGTAGTGTCGTGGTTAGCGCGCTGTGCTGCAAACCCTGCGATCCAATTCCCATTCCCGCTCACGAGCAACATCGGTGGCAAGTACGCGAACTGGTTTGGGCTTCCCCTAGGTAGACTCAGCCTCAGATGAGTACCTCGTGCGGTGGGTTATCATCGTGACAAAGGAGACAAAGGCGGCCGGATGCGGTGCTGGCCAACTAGACGCTCGTGTGTCGTGTTGGTCTCCACAGGTGATATTCGCGAATGGCACTTGCCCCAACAGTCTGTTAATCCTATACGGGGGGTTCTTTGTCTTTGTGTATGTACCCGTGTTAAATGTACGCGTATGTGTGTGTACCTGTGTATGTGTGTATGTACTGTATGTGTATGTGTACCTGTGTATATGTGTATGTACTGTATTGATGTGTACCTGTGTATGTGTGTATGTACTGTATGTGTACCTGTGTATGTACTGTATGTGTGTACCTGTGTGTGTATGTACTGTATGTGTACCTGTGTGTACGTACTGTATGTGTGTGTACCTGTGTGTGTACCTGTGTATGTACTGTATGTGTGTGTACCTGTGTATGTGTGTATGTACTGTATGTGTGTGTGTACCTGTGTATGTGTGTATGTACTGTATGTGTGGAGAGAGTGGAGAGTTTCCCATACCTGGGCAGTGTGCTTATGACCGGCTCCTGTTTAACAGCAGAGGTTTCACTCCGAATCAATCGAGCGGAAATATCTTTTCATCGGTTGTGTAACGCTGTGTGGAAGCTACCTGGTCTGTCGCTCCGCACTAAGCTTCAGGTCTTCTCGGCCACGGTCATTCCCTCCCTTCTCTACGCTTGCGAAACCTGGACCCCCCAAATGAAACATCTTCGCCGGTTAGCAACATTTAGGCTAGCCTGCCTACGATCCATCCTGGGTTTAACTGGATTGTGTGAGGAGCTCACAAATCCTTGAAAGAGCTGGGCAAGGTCCCATCGGTGAGCTCCTCCGGCGGGCAAGGCTGCGATGGCTGGGTCATGTAGCCCGCATGCCCAGCCACCGCATGCCGAAACAGCTTTTGTTCTGCCAGATCGAGGGGACTAAACAGGCGCGGCACGGGCTAGAGAAGAGAGGGAGTGATGTGGTACAGGAGGACGTGGAGCTGAGTGGACTTGCCGATGACTGGTACCAGCGGTGTCAAGATCTGCCTCTGTGGCGGAGGCTCGTGAATGATGCTACTGTGCAGTTGGAGGCAGTCGCCCTCCAACAACAACGTAGGGTGGAGGAGCGACGCTCACAACAACGAGCGGAGCGCCGGGTGGCTAAAGCACAGCAGGTTGGCACAGTAGGGGGCACAGGTGGTGCATCAGCCAGTCATCTCAGTCAATCGACCCGTGGAACCTGGGTCTGCCCCGTGACCTCCTGCAAGCGGCCGTTCGACACTCCACGTGGCCTCAAGGTGCACATAGCCTGGCACAAGCGTCGTGGTGACGTCACCGCCACTTAGTGGCGAATGGCGGTTGTTGTATGTGTGTGTACCTGTGCGTGTATGCACTGTATGTGTGTGTACCTGAGTGTGTGTGTATGCACTGTATGTGTGTGTACCTGTGTATGTGTGTATGTACTGTATGTGTTTGTACCAGTGTATGTACTCTATGTGTGTGTACCTAAGTATGTGTGTATGCACTGTATGTGTGTGTACCTGTGTATGTACT